TTACATCTGTAATTGTCCTGATTTACCAACAAACATTCTGATTCTGACTGTACCAACTCCAGCAATTTTGTAAGGTATTTTGTTTCCCATAATCACTGTACCTCTCAAAACTCTTTCATATGTTGGAAACCAGTCCTTGTTGGGATACATATGAAAATTACAAGCTGAGTCAGAACCCATTCATCACAAAGTTTGGAATCCATGTCAGAAATCACAAGAAGCTCTCATTCACTTTGCCCATCTTCCACAGTATCAGGCTGTGCTGTGTTAGCAGGTTGCTTCCCTTTTTCAATAGTACCAGCATCTTCATTTCTGTTTTTTAAGGTATAGCAATCAACTCTAACATGCCCATTTTTTCTTACAATAGTGACATGTTTTCCCAGCATGTCTAGATTTCAATATGTCCCTCATATTTCTGCCAAGATTCCTATCTTGATTTCTCTCACGCACAATCAAGCCTTCAGCATGATTCCCGATCCTCCAACAAGATGCCTCATCTTCTCCTTAGATAGTAAAGCATCATAGACCTCTTCGACGGTGAGAGTATCCCAACTATAGAGAATAATATCTCTAAAAGTCACATATGATGGTGGCAGAGAACACAACAATATCAACGGCAAATCCTCCTCGTCATACTTAACTTCCATTGTCTCCAAATTAGCCATGATTTCTTTGAACATAGTTAAGTGATCATCCAATGACGCACCTTCAAATATTCGGTGAGAATACTAACGTTGTTTTAAGTGTAGCTTGCTGGTCAAGCTCTTTGTCATGTAAAGTTGCTCAAACTTCTCCTTTAGAACATCCTGGAGAATTTGATTGGAAAGATGTAGATGAATTTGTGATTGGGCTTTTCGATCCTTACGCTACTTTTCATCTTGCGTTCAGGTAGCAGGCATCCTATCAAGGCCAAGCAAGGCTTCCTCCAAATTCATCTACGCTAGAGCTACTTCACTTGTGATAAGGTAAATCTCGTGTTTATATCCAACAGTGGAATATCATATTTCATTGTCGTCATGCGAAACAATCAACCTTGCTCTGATACCACTTGTTATGAATTTTAGATCAAGATAATGATGATAATGAAATAAAAAATAAATAAACGCCAAGATTTAAGTGGAAACCCAATATGGGAAAAATCAGAAAAATCCACTAAAATCAATAGTAATTGTGTTTATAATATCAAGATCTCAATTCTCTCAATTGAAATTTAGGCTCTCTAACTCTCAAGATGTTGTTGAATAATCATATGTGAAGATACAACGTGGGATATATATATATATTTGTTAAAGTTCTAGATAAAGAAGAAGTCCTAAAATCCGAAAAAAGGGAATTAAAATTCCCTGATGGGTTCAGCGCTGAGGCGCCTGAGCCCGGCTCTGCAGTGTCGGGTCCTCTGTAATAACCAAGGGCCCTGTGCCTTTCTTGGCATCGTAGTACCGGGCCTTCTATTTCTTTTTTTTTCTTTTTCCGTTCCAAAGTGTTTTTCTTCATTTTAAAGTCTTTTTCCAAGCCAAACTCCAAATTTTTTATGAAATTTGACCTTCATTAATTTGGACTTTAAAAAACTCAAACTCTTTAGACTTCTTTTATTTTACCAAACCCAAATAACATGAAATTTGGATCACATCACATCACTCTCCTTGAAAAGTACTCTGATTTCATGTGCACGTTGTTTAAGTTGTCCAACATCATTTCATTTGGTTCTGTATTCTTTTCTTTTCTTGCATTTTGTTTTGTTTACCTTTTCTTTTGACTCTAGTGGCCAAAGTAATATCATTCATGTTACGAAAAAATCTTAGGACCATTTTGGTTTGTGTTTGAGTTTTGAATTCACTTTCAATTTTCTGTTTTGAGGTTTGTTTAAAAATAAATTTGATTTGTCATTTTGAAAAAAATATTTCCCAAAATAGGAAACTATATAACCTGCATTTTGTTTGAAATTTGAAATTGTTTAATGATATTTTAATCCTTGAAATTTGATAATTAAATAAAATAGAACAATTCTATTTCAATAAATTACTAAATAATATATACATTTTAAAGTCTGTGAATCTTATATACATTTTTTTCTTGTTGTTAAAATAAAATAAAAATAAATGATAAATTGAGTTGGTAAAACATAAAAAATAAAAATTAATGATGCGAACTAAGAATATCTTATTTGTATTCATTTTTACGTAAATAATCATTGAGAGTTTGAATTTTTTTTTTTTTTTTAACAAATGTAAAACTTTTATGTAAATAATCATTGAGAGTTAGAGTTATTTTTATAGTTATTTTTTTTTTGAAATATTTTTTTTCTAGAATTTCTTATAATTTTATTTTTAGAATTTTTATGTTTTTTTAGATTTCTTTTTTAAATTTACCTTTTTAGAATTTAGAATTTTATTTTTCAAGATTTTTATTTTTTTGAATGTATTTTATTAATTTCAAATATGATGTCAGGAGAAGGGGCTAAATCAATAATTTAAGCTTCTAATAGTGTGGTCAATGATTTAGAACCTGCTTGACAATTACTCCGGGTAAAATTAAATTTTAAATAGTGATTTTTTGAAAACTGAATGGTTAAAAAGTATGAAATTTTTTTTGGTTTATGTTCAAAATATTTTATTTCGTGAATTTATAATTGAAAATAAATACATAAAAAACGAAATTTTGAAATAATGGTTGTCAAGACAGGGGCTTAGAGGCAAATGTAATTTCCTAATGTACCACACTCTTACAAGTACATTATCGACACTTCTTCTCTTCGCCTTACAAGGTAAATTTGATCTCCAATCACTAAACTTTAAGTGAAATTTCAATTAGTTCATTTAATTTAATTTATCTCAATCGAATTATTAAACTTCAATTTAATTTTGATGAGACCGCTAATTTAATTTTACATTTCAATACTATGTCGTCTCTTAAATCAATAAAAGTGCTTGAATTTATTATTATTATTATTATTAAAAGGAAAAATTGCAGCCACGGTACCAAATATTTCATTTATGCCACCTGCGATACCAAACATTTCCAAAATTCGCACCCGGAGTCCAAATGGACGAAAGTCGTTTGTTCATCCATTAGTTGATCTATAGTCAACATTTTGACTATATTTTATAGGGTAAAACGGTCAAATTATATTTTCTATAAAATACAATTAAAATAAAAAACCTAAAAACAAATACACTTCATTTTCTCCACATACCCTACACACACACACCCGCCAAAAACCAAAACCAAGAATCGGAATCACCACTGCCACTCACCCCACCACCTGCTACCGCCCACGCCCATCGCCACCCCGACCTACACTTCAGCATTATTTGCCTCTCTTTCGATGCCAATTCCAAGATTTTGCAATAGGCAAAAGTTAGATTGGTTTTATTTCAATTGCAGCAATCGATTTATAGGCCTCTCGGTAATCTCTATCCCTATTCCAACTATTAAAATTGAATTCACTCAATTTTTTGTTGAAAGAAAAAAAAATTGTGATATTATTCCGACTATTCAAAAAGGGTGAAGTTGTGGAATCCATACTCAAATTTGACTGGAGCTACCACGGCTTATACATGAAATTTGAGGCTATGGTAGGCGGTTGTGATTTGTTGATTTATTGTTCAAATTCTTGAAAATGGTGGAGTTGTGCAGTGGTGGTGGTTGTGGGTTTTGGTTTTGGTTTGGGTAGGTGGGCAACGATATGAATTGTTTGCAATGACTTTGGTGGCATTGCGGTGCAGTGGTTTGGGTATGGTGGATGATGGTTGTCGATGGATTTGAGAGTGGTGGATGGTGATGGTCGGCGTGGTTGGGTGGGTGGACGTTGATTTGGCTTCTTTGACGCTGGATGGGATGGGATTAGAGTAGGCCGGTACGGAAGAAGAAGAAGAAAAAAAAAATTCAATTTCTTTTCCTTTTATTTTTGATTTTTTAATTTAATTCTTTAATATAAAAATCTAAAATTACTTTTTATCTTTTAAAATTTAGTCAAAATGTTGACTCTAGGTCAACTAACGGATGAACTATCAGTTTTCAATCCATTTGGACTTCGAATATAAATTTTTGAAAGATTTGATATCGTGGATGACACAAATGAAATGTTTGAATAAAATTTGCAATAAAATAAAAGATTTGATACCGTAACTGCAACTTTCCCTTATTAAAATTGTATATAGCCCACAATGAATTTTCGACGTAATCATTACGTGATATGTCAACTTACTATTAAATCACATCATAAAAGTGTTAAACAAAGAACACATCTTTTAATCCAAAGACACTATCGTAACCCTATTAATTTTTTCGTTTCTAGAGTGCTACTAGAGATGGTATTGAGACCAATTACGATATGTCTGCCAACCAAGCCCATGTTTGAGCTTCATTATAATTAGTTTTTGGAAATATA